ATAAATTAATAATATCCCCATAATTAAAATTATATTTATATATACACATGGGACTTAATTAGGATGTATTTATAAAATATAATTCTAATATTATTAATTTTTCTAACACCCACTACTACAATTGCTTTTGAAAAAAGTTGGATTTTTTATGTTGCATTGACACAATGCTATACTCATTTCATTCATTGTTGATTTTTTTACATCTTGAGATCAAAAGCCATTGTGTTCAGTTTTACTTGTTAGAGATATTGCATGTTCTTCTATATATGTTTTTGCTTGACTTAATATGTATGAAGTTTATTAATTAAATATATATTTAATGTAATTTTAGTTTGTTATAAAAAAAATGCATGTATACATTACTTTTATATGATAAGACTAATTTATAAACTTATTTTGATTGAACAAATACATAGAATATCGTAATTTATAATTCAATAATTAGGTAATATTTGTGTAATCATAATATACAATAAACATATTAAGTTTAATGTTTTGAAAAAAATGAATACCTTGATAAATTATTTTTTTGTTAATTAATATATAAATTATTTATTTATTGATTAAATAATAAATTTTTATGATTCCAAAGGCATTAATTTTTTAGGTTTAGTTGTATACTAGATAATGGCTTGCTCTATATTGCAGATCCGCGCTAATTTTTTTATAAAATGTTTAGATACCACAACTATATTTAAAAAAAAATAAAAATCTAATAACTCGGGTTATAACTTTAACTAATCATATAACCTTAGAAAAATTTAGTCAAAATTTATTGACCTTTTTCTTTTTGAAAAAGAAACAATGTCATTTTTACATATTTATAAAATAAAAAATGATTGACTTTGATTAAACCACTTGACTAAGGGCTTGAAACTTGCTTTAGGTTTATCCCCGAGTGTGATTTGATAAGTATGTGATAAATATTTGTGACACAGGTCATTAGAATTGAACCACCATGCATCAAAAAAAAATAAATCAAATCCTTAACAAATCAAATGTTGAAAGATATAATTAGAAAAAAATTAATAAAATAAAAGAATCTAAAATAAAATAAAAAATAATCTTGACTCGGCAATTCAACTCCTAATTCAAGTGATTTGAGGCCTCAATCGGGCCATATTCTAATAAAAATAAAAAGAAGGATTGACACGGTATGATCCAAACAAAAAATAGAGTTAACTCACATCTCAATCAACCAATTTGACCTGGATCAACTTACATGACTTGCGGTTCTAGACTTGCTTCAGGTCGATCTGAAGATGGGCTTAAAAGATAAATCATGAATAACTTTTTAAACTCATGACATAAGTCATTATACTGGAGATATTATACATGCAAAAATTAAAAAGTTCAATCCTCAACATTCTAAACTTTGAATAATAAAATTAAAAAAAATTATACAAAAATTTAAAATAAAAAATAGTAACTAAAAAATCAAGGATGAAAAAATACAGGGCAAGAATAATTCTTTTGATTAGAGGGCTAAATTAAAACAGAAAACATAAAAAATTATAAATATAAGGATTAAATTAGAAGAAAAACAATAAAAACTAAGATTCAAATCACAAAAAAAAAATACAAACTTTTCTTTATTAGGAAAGAGAGGGGAAAAAAAATCAATTAGTGAGAAGCTGGCATACTATCAACGATACACCTTGCACCAGATTACCCTCCGTATAATGGAAAGGCTTGTTTGGTTATTAAGATGTGCAATTCATACACTGAAATGCGTTAATAGTTTTATTGATTAAAAAAATTATATCTAAAAAGAAAAAGTTTCAAATTACCCTTTATACTTATGAGATTTGCAATAAAACCTATTTGAGAATATCAAAAAACTCAAGGCCTGAGGTCGATCTCTCATTGACTGCAAGGGAAAATTTAACTTCTTATTGTTCTAATAAAAACAAAAAGTCTAGAATACCCTTTGCTAACCGTCTTAAATTTTTAAAAAATCAATAGTAATTAAGTCTTTTTACTGTTTAAAAATTATGGAAAAGATATATACATATAAATAGTAATTAAGTTTTATATATATACACACACACATCCTTATACAATCTTTAAATAATTGATAAATCATGTAAAAAATCAAAATACTCTTAAAATCAACATTATTATTATTTAGAAAGGATGAAAGTATCGCTTTAAAAAATATATATCCTTGTACAATCTTTAAATAATTAATAGATGATTTAAAAAGATTAAAATATTCTCAAAATCAAGATTATAATTTTTTTAAAAAAGAATAAAAGTGGTGAATAGAAAAATACATCTAACTCGCTTTCTGTTTTAGTTATATTTTATTATTTTATTAGGGTTGTTATAATTTTTATTTCCTAGTATGTCTAGACACTCGCGGAGAATGAAGGTTTTTTATTATGAGTATTTTCTCAAAATAACACTTTCTCAAAAACCTTTGGAGAGAGTGCACAGTTCATAAAGTTTTTGAAAAAAGAACTATAGGTTACGGTGTTAGAAACAGTGTAACCTATTAAAATATTTTAAAAAATATATTTTCTACAAATCAAAATAACTTATTTATTGGTGTAATTTTATTCTCAATATTAGTTCATTTAATTTCAAATAATTATTATACCTATCAATAAAAACAATTTGTTGCATTCAAATTAAATTTGAATGAGATTATTTAACCTAGTATATTAATTAAAAATCACGATAATAATCAATGAAAAATTTAATTTTAATAGGATTTATTAATTTAGTAGATTAATTAATAAGTATGAATAAAATTTGAGAATAAAACAATGTCATTGAGAAAAAAAAAGAGATAAAATATATATATTAAATTGAAAGATAAGAAGAAAGATAAGAAGAAAGATAAGACTCCAATTGAATTGAAATCTGCCTCACCCTTATCCTTAAATAATATATATATATATATATTCATTATCATCCTATATATATATATATTCATTATCATCCTATATATATATATATGCCCCTCATTATCATACTCTCCTAATAGATTTGCTTTTATAAAACACAGAATATGTACAGTTTAATTAAACTAATTAATGAATTATTTTTCAAATACTCGAGATAGCATTTGAATATCAAAGATAAAAATTGGAATGAGAAATTCATGGGTGGTTCTCGTCGTGTCTGGTCGTTCTTGTTTCCCGTCCTTCCTCTGCGGTTAGCGGTCGTAAATGGCCAAATCAGGGGCCGAATATGGCCAAAAATAGGCTTAATTTCAGGCGCTCAGAAGCCACAAAACCGAGCCCAATCATTCCACCTCCACTGAAAAATCAAAGAGTGTGGCTCTTGTTGCCTGAGCGAGTGGTGTGTCTCTCGCGCCATTCTCCATCACCCGCAATTCTTCCTCACACGTGCTCACCTGCTTACAACCTCAGAAAAGACAACCTCATATGGACATCACCGCAGCTAATCTTTCCCCATTCTTCTATCCAGTGTCTCTCTGGAGATGTTTGGAATAACTACAAATCAGTCCCCAAACATTACTTTTTTAATAGATCTAAAAAAGTTGTGATGCCAACTCACCTCCTTCGCGTTTAGTAAAAGAAGTGGTCTTTTCTTTCATCCCTTTTTTGGCATCCAATTTCTTTTTTTATTTTTTTTCATCTTTTTTTTCTTAATTTTTTTATTTATTATTTGCTTAAATTTAAATTTATCTTCATAAATTATTTTAATTTTTTTCTATGAAATTATTAAAAAAAATTAAAAAATATTATGATGTTTTATTTGTACTTGATTTTATAAGCATATATTTTGTTATTATATTATTAAGTAAAAATAATTTTAAAAACAAACAATATTTTTCAACTCATTGGAGTCCATTACCATTGTCGTAAATTTGACAAATTTAGTCTTGAAGCTTAAGTTGATCTAATATATTAATATATTAGTATTTTAAAAGTCATCTTGACTTTTTTTTTTAAAAATCAAATTATATATTTTATCAGTTGTCCAGATTACTTTTGAACTTGCTAAATAAACTTGTAAAGTTGGGATAATTTTCACGCGATTTAATTTTAAATATGAAATATATAATGAACCGAGCTGGAAAGTTTCAAAATTAACATGTTGAATTGAGTTTAATAACAATATCAATTAGTTTTTATGAACTAAATATTTTTTTTAGATTTATTTTTAATTTACACAACAACATAACACAAACCCATAAAACAATATATATCTGGGTAGACTTTAAATTTTCAACATATTTCTAAAATTTTTGCTCATATTTCTCTAAACATAACAAGTTTATTTTTGTTGCTTGTTAGTTTTTTTCTATAAAAATAAATATATTAATATCACTTTTTACAAAGAAATTGATATTATGTTATAATGTTTGTGACAAATAATATTGTTCTAATAGAGTTGAAATTCTTAATAATATATTTTAAATGGGAAAGAAAAATAATTAAATATAGTGTAATTCTGAGATTATTAAATTGATGTAAATAAATAAAACAAAGAAAGAGTAATATATTATTTTTTTCTATTGTCTAAAAATGTGTCTCAATGGAGTAATTTTGTATTTTATAGCCCCTGCTAACAAAAAATTATAGATTCAAAAGGTTATGTTGAGAGAGAAATCTATACATGCATATCAAATTTAGTTATCATCATAGTTAAATATATTGAATATATACAGTAAATGTGTTTCTATCAATAAAAACTATATACATTTTATTTTTTTAACTAAAATTTTTTTTTTCAATTCATGCCTTTCCTTAATCATTAAAAAAAAATTTCAATTCATGCCTTTCCTTAATCATTACTTGAAATATAATATTACAATAACATTTTTTATAGAGTTTATTTTTATAAATTCTATTTTTTTTGGTAATGAAGATTGACATATAGGGATAAAAATGTTAAGCCAAAGAAAGTTTGTGAAGAACTTAGCAATACATCAAAAGTCGGGGACTGAATTTATCTAGATGGCTTATTTGTAATTATCCATACCAATCACGATTGCACGAGGGAAATTATTAATATATAATATTCAACGGTGATCGTCCCTTGCCTGCAATATCTCCTCCATAGCAGGAAAAACTTGTTTTCTCTCCGGCCAACAAACACGTCCCCATAATAAACACGCATGTCTATCTGATTGAGTGTTTTCTTAATCTATCATGTTAAGGGTTTAGGGTTTCAAAAAAAATTATATAACAAAGCATGTCACCGATGCTCGAAACTCTAAGACCAATAACGCACATCTCTCCTACTCTTCCTCCTCCTCTTACTAAATTTCATTCAATTCGACTCCAATCTTCTAGGGTTCTCCACCACCGTTTTGCCCCAAATATTAATAACAATTGCCTCTCTTTTCCTTCAATTAATCCCAAATCCTTCAGTTTTTTATCCAACACCAAAATCAGAGACTATAAAATCTTAGCTAAATGTCAAGAAAGCGATTCCACCGAGAAAGCAAACACCGAAACCGAACCACCAAAAAATCCTCCGTCAGCGCCGTCTTCGTCGTCTAATTCGGGGTCCAAGCAGAAGAGAGAGAAGCGAGGGAAAAGCGAATGGTGGTTTTCCAAGAAGCAGAATTGGAAATGGCAACCTTTAATTCAAGCGCAAGAAATTGGTGTCTTGCTTTTGCAATTAGGGATTCTTATGTTCGTTATGCGGTTGCTCCGACCCGGAATTGCTTTGCCCGGGTCGGAGCCGACGCAACCCGCTACCTTTGTCAGCGTGCCCTATAGTGAGTTTTTGAGTAAAATTAGCAGTAATCAAGTGCAGAAAGTGGAGGTTGATGGCGTTCATATAATGTTTAAGTTAAAAAACGAGGGAATTAGTAGTCAAAAGAGTGGCGGTGGTAGTGGTAGTAGTGAAGTGGTTAGTAGCAAGTTTCAAGATTCGGAGTCTTTGTTAAGGAGTGTGACGCCTACGACAAAAAGGATTGTGTATACTACGACGAGACCTACTGATATTAAGACTCCTTATGAGAAGATGCTGGAGTACCAGGTGGAGTTTGGTTCGCCTGATAAGAGGTCCGGTGGATTCTTGAATTCGGCATTGGTGAGTTTTGATTGGAAGTTAATTAGGAGTTGGTGTAAATATACTGTTTTTTTTAATTTCCTGTTTAAGTTTTCCGGTTGAGTTTGATGATATAACTGTTGCAAGTTTATGTGTTGCATTTAGTTTGGTTTTTAAGTACATTGCTAGAGTAGACTAGCATTGATGTCGAAAATATGAAGCAAACATCCATTCATTAGGGATTGGACGTTTGCAATCTGATTGAGAGAATCTTTTTTTATCCTCAAAATTTCGTTGTCCGAGGTTTTGTTTTCCTACCAGATATTGATATGCATATGTATTGTGAAGTTATTGATTATGAATCCTAGATTGAATCCAACATATTAAATTATAGTTTTAACAGAGTTTTCATTATTACTGGCAATTTGATAACTCTCATAGAGAATTAGCACCAATTTTTAGCTAATTGCCTCATTGTTCACGCTCTATTAGCATGATCGATCACACTTTTCGTCCCTTGATTTTACATTTTCTCCTATGCTGTTCTTGTCATCTACCTCATTTATGCTGATCATAGGTCACTAGCCCTTGTCTGCTCAAAATGGATGGTGCATGTGATATAACTTTTTTTATTTTTATTCTTTGGATGAAACTTAACTGTTATTAGAGGAAAATGAATAGAAGAATGCTACAAGATATGGCATGGGGTAATCGCAATCATGAAATTCTAGATATTGGACTTTAAGAGATGTTTCACTAGATGGAGATTAATATCTCTTTCTTTCTTCTGTTCCTTTCAGATAGCTTTGTTCTATGCAGCTGTGCTTGCGGGGCTTCTGCACCGTTTCCCTGTTACCTTCTCTCAGGTGCTAAATTTCATCCTACCTTTTCAATTGTCTTGAACCTTATGCAATGTAGCAAGATTTTGATTGGATCTATGCAAAGTTGTGCAGCATAAAGCTGGTCAGATTAGGAACCGCAAGTCTGGGGGCTCCGGAGGTTCAAAAGTTTCCGAGCAAGGTGAAACAATAACTTTTGCCGATGTAGCTGGTATTGATGAAGCTAAGGAAGAGCTAGAAGAAATTGTGGTGTGTTATATTGGACCTCTTCATTAGTCCAATGGACCATCATGTCTTGCTCAGTGTTCTAAATCCTCTCTGCTAATTCAGTAAAATGATCTTTACAGGCTGATGTTTACTGTACAGGAATTTCTCAGGAATCCAGACAGGTATATCAGACTTGGTGCTCGTCCTCCTCGAGGTGTTCTTCTGGTGAGTAAAGAAAGAAAAACTTAAGATGGAAGTTTATTGCATGGCAACAAGCTGACTGTTCCTCCAATCTCCAGCAAAAATCACCTCTAATTAATTGCACATTTCAACTTTGCTGGCCTCAGTTAAAATAAACTGCATACACATCACTCCACCAATCATCTCATTGTCCTTTTCAATGTTCGCCAGATTGGACAATTGACAAAGATAATATGAGAAAGTAACTGTGAACCCAAAAAATGGAAATTGTTGATCTCTCTAGCTGCTGTATATAGCTGTGTTTCTTTTCTTTTAAATATAAATGCTGTATTTTATCACTCTCGTGCTCTGGGTCTCTCTAATTTTGTTCGTTCTCCAGTTCCTCATCCACTACCAGCATGCATGTCTTTGCTGAAAAATCGTTTGATGACTTGCCTGATCCAAGAGAATAAATATAAGAGGCTGCAATGATTTATTCTATGGTTCAATTTTTTTGTAAGTTCAGTGAGAATTATTTTTGTCTATGTTACAGGTGGGCCTTCCTGGGACTGGTAAGACACTTCTAGCAAAGGCTGTTGCTGGAGAAGCTGAAGTTCCCTTTATAAGTTGTTCCGCAAGTGAATTCGTAGAGTTGTATGTTGGCATGGGTGCCTCCCGTGTGAGAGATCTCTTTACCCGGGCAAAGAAGGAGGCACCATCCATAATATTTATTGATGAGGTAAGATTATGGGAATTTCTATCGTGTTGGGACATTATATCTTAAAAACCAAGGATGTTTTAATGATGGGACATTTTTCCATATGCAGATAGATGCTGTGGCAAAAAGTCGTGATGGAAAATTCCGCATTGTTAGCAATGATGAAAGGGAGCAGACTTTGAATCAGTTGCTCACTGTATGCTTCTTTCTTGAAAGTATTATTCATTCTGAAATTTTCCTGGCCATGTCACTGTGGAAGTTGAAATGTTCGAAATGCATCGCAGGAGATGGATGGGTTTGATAGCAATTCTGCTGTGATTGTTCTTGGTGCAACAAATCGCTCTGATGTGTTAGACCCTGCACTCCGCCGACCAGGAAGATTTGATCGTGTGGTTATGGTTGGTACACTGATTCACTCACATCTTGGCACACATTTTATAGTTCAACAATAACAGATGTCACCACTATTTGTCTCATCTCTGTCTTTAGGTGGAAACACCTGATAGAAATGGAAGAGAAGCCATTTTAAAAGTACATGTTTCCAAGAAAGAACTACCTTTAGGAGAGGATGTTGACCTCAGTGATATTGCCTCTATGACTACTGGTTTTACTGGGTATTTCCTCCCACGACTAATTTTAGATTTTGTGTTTCATTTTTGGCTAAGTTAGCACGAGTGACCTTTTAATTCTTACTTTGTGCAGGGCAGATCTTGCAAATCTGGTAAATGAAGCTGCTTTGTTGGCTGGAAGGAAAAACAAAGTAGTGGTGGAGAAACTTGATTTCATTCAGGCAGTGGAGCGAGCAATAGCGGTATCTCTCTCTCTCTCTCTCTTTCTCTCTGTGTATGTGTGTGAGAGTCGCAGGAAGGTGTTGTGACTGCTGGAAATCTCCTCTTTTTATGATCAATTTCTTGTTTTCTCTGGCGCTGCTTTCCTAATTTGATTTATAGTTTAGACATTTTTATCTGTTGACAAGACATTGACAATTGATATAATGATTTAACATCTCTCATGATTTAGTTCCTTTTGGTGACTTATGACAGTTATTTAAAACTCCCAAAAATACATGTAGGACATCTGCAGAAAGTTTTTGAGTGAATTTTGCCTTGTTTTTCAATGGCCACTGTGTTTATATGTGTTCACACTTGGTGTTAATGAGGTAAAAGCTGATATTAATTCAACAAGAAAAAATCCAGATTTGCTGTCTGTTCTGCATTGAAAGATTGATAGATGAATTGGGGTTTTACTAAAGGAAGTTTTCTTGGGTTTTGATGGAGCAATTTAATATGATACATGATGCTTACAATATCAAAGGATACAAGATTCTATGCTGCACTTTTGGATTTTCTCAAAGCATTGCAACCAAGGTCCCATAGGCATTACATATGGAAGCAGGGTTGCAGTTAAGCACTTGAAATTTCTGCAGAACTATCCTGGCATTGAAAAAAAATTACATAACTATATGGATTTTGGGATTTCTTGTAACCATGAATGTAAGACTCCCCTAAAGTGGGAAATGAAACCGTGCAGGATATTTAATAAGACCTACTTACATCAGCAGACCTTATCTAAGACCCAATAAAAAATAACCCAGCTGATAGCTGTGGACATAATTTTCAAAGTACTCATGACCTATAAAATTTAAGAAAACTTCAACAAAAATAAACAACCAACATGCTTAGCTAAGTATATATAAAATAGGACTCCGTGCTAATTCAACAAGACTGGAGAAGGTCCCTAGAGGCCCTACAGTTAATTTGGAGATGTTAAAGGCCCTTTGTCCTGCAACATTTGGATTCTGATTTTTGCTGCTTTTATCTGTATCTTCAAGTGCTTTGGGCCTGTATATAATGTTGTCTTCCACAAGCTCAGAAAGCATTTTCCAGTGCACTTGCTTGTCTTTGTATTACTCCTAGCTCCTCTGTTTTGCAAGTTTTAATCGTACCATGCTCTTATCTATTCAGTGCACATTTTGTGCTTTCATGGTTGTGGTGACTTTGTGCCTAAGTTACCAAATGTCCTCCCTTCCCTCCCTCCTTAATGGCCAATAAGATTCAGTTATAATTGAAAAGGGAGTTTGTAAACCTTGAGTATAATGAAAGAACTGAACCAATCATTTGTTTTCATAGGGCATTGAGAAGAAGACTGCCAGGTTGCAAGGAAGTGAGAAGGCTGTGGTTGCACACCATGAAGCTGGTCATGCAGTAGTAGGTACTGCTGTTGCTAATATCCTTACTGGACAGCCACGTGTTGAGGTAAACATCACAGGAACACTTTTACTGATTGGTGTAAGTTTATTTGTCATTAGTGAGGCTGCATCCACGGGAATTATGCCACCCTTAATGGCATGTCCATACTGTGTCATATTGTCATGTGCTCGAGGAGATTACTTGAGCTCAAAAGCATTGTTATCATTGATTGCTCACTGCATTTTCTATTTTCTCATGTCTGATTTTCTAATTGGGCTGGAATAGAGACTTTCATGGAGAAATTTTTTATATATGGAATCCTGGGATATCCAAATCCTATCAGCTGTTTATATACTTTATTCTAAAGTAGTCATTGAATTGAATAATCAAATGAGAGACTTTTTTTCTGGACTTCTAGGAAGAAAAACCGATGGAAGTAAATACTTTTAACACTACTGATATCAAAAATTAGTGGATTCTTTTTTATTAGAACTACTGCCTGGATTTTCTTGGGCATACGAACTTACATAAAGTCAGAAATGAGACATCATATTTAGACCACTTATAATTTTCTGAATGGTATATAGAATAGACAGTAACAATTACTTCTTTGCATATCATTAGAAGTTGAGCATATTACCAAGGTCAGGAGGGGCATTGGGCTTTACTTATATACCACCAACAAACGAGGATAGATATTTGCTCTTTATTGATGAGTTGCGTGGCCGCTTGGTTACTCTTCTTGGAGGACGGGCAGCAGAAGAAGTTGTGTATTCAGGTCGTGTCTCAACAGGTGCCCTGGATGATATTCGGCGGGCTACTGATATGGCATACAAAGCAGTAGCTGAATATGGTCTTAATCAGACCATAGGTCCTGTGTCTTTAGCAACACTTTCTGGAGGAGGGATGGATGACTCTGGAGCTGCTCCATGGGGAAGGGATCAGGTGCGGTGTTATTTAAAGTTCGCTTCCTTCATCTCATGTAGTATGGTTAAAAACTGACATGAAATTGATTGCCACAGGGGCATCTTGTTGATCTTGTTCAAGGAGAGGTGAGAGCATTGCTGCTATCTGCCCTTGATGTAGCACTTTCCGTTGTGCGTGCTAATCCAACTGTCTTGGAGGGACTTGGTGCCCATCTGGAAGGTAATATTTGACACTAGCTAAATTCAGTACCGTAGTGTTTGGTGCATTACGTTATTGATGCATTGCCAAGTTGGAGTCCATTAATTGACACAAATTCTTTCTAGCAGTCCTTTTGATATGCCAATACCATTGACTATGGTTGATCTTAAAACTGTGAAACTGCTTAGCTGGTATGGCGTATGCCTTTCCTCAATGCATTGCATGAGATACATAGTTTGTATTTGTTGTCAGATGCCATCCAGGGTGCCCAGCCCACAGAAGTTGATCGTAGGTTAGATTCTGGGTTTGCATATTGAATTTTTTATGATACTGGGTTGCTGTAAATTCGGTGTTTGTTATGTTTCGAAGAGTTACCACCTGTAATTTCCATAATGTTCTGACATTTACTCTTTTCAACGGCTTGGTCAGAGAAAGAGAAAGTAGAAGGCAAAGAGCTGCAAGAGTGGTTGAAGTTGGTAGTTGCTCCAAAAGAGCTTGTGCTCTTTGTCGAAGGGAAGCAAGAATCTCTTCTCCCGCTGCAAGCGGGCTCCTAATGAAACAATGATTGTGCTCTCAGCTCTTCATTATCAGGCAAAAGATGGAGCTAGCCTGTACCGCCTCCAGCCATTATAATGTTGATGAACTTAGTGGCATGATCTTTGAGCTCACCCCTACAGCATTGTATATTTCAGTGAGGTAAATTTTTGGCGTTATTGTAATATTTACTGGTCCAAGGGCAGAAGGAATGATGGAAAGCTGCAGATCTGCTGCTGTCGCTGCCGGAGCCTAGTCAAGTCTCTCACCATCTTGACATTACCCCCATGTACACTACTAGTTGGTTTTGAAATCCAGTGTCCGTCGGCAATTATTTCAGGTGGTACAGTTTGAGTACTATGGCAATTGTATCTTTTTTTATTATTATTATTTTCAGTTGTATACATGATTATTCTGTGAAAATATATACATAGTAACAGTCCCACACAAGCTGGTCTGGTAAAGGTCTGAAAAAACGCTGTGCACTGTTTTCCTCACAGGAATTATACCAAGTCATTTCTTTCTTACGTACTCTTGCGTCTAAATATCGGGTGGAACCTGGGATACGAGGATGGAACCCATATTGAAGTGATGCTCTATGCTTTCCGTTTCACTGTAGAGAGGAACTCGATTGGTCAGGTAAATTTGTGACGAAGCTGATCTGCAGTCTAGCAAATCTAGTGTGTACGGGGAATGATAAGCAGGGAAAGACATTTAACTGGAGAACCATTTGATGAAAAACTATAATGGATTCTCGACGAGTTAAGTGAATGAAAATTTCAATGTTTATGAGCCTGGAAGCTCGTTTAAGTCTCTTTTACAGTGCGTGTTTTTATTTATTTTTTTGATACATTTTAAAAATGTTTCTGTCATGAAAAAACATGCAATTAATTATTTTTTAAGTATTTTAATGTATTAATAATAAAAATTCAAAAAAAAATAATATGTCTTTAAATAAAAAATACTATCCGTAGCTATAAATCGGAGTGGTTTATCAGCCAACCAGTGAAAGAGGAGGGAAGGGGGAAGTACAAGACGACTAGTCAAGTGGTTCCTAGACATCTCAGCACTCGATGACTGTCATGTAGAGCGATGGCGATTCATCGCATTGATATTTTTTTTTCGAGTCTAAAATATCAGCGTCGCTTTCGGGAAATGACTCATCTTCCGTCTCTTCCTGCAGGAAAAATCCAGGAGCCTTGAGGACCACACGTCGCTGGCTGCCTCTTCACGAAAATATAGCCTTGGCTTGGGTTAAGAGTTTAATCGAGAGGTGTGTAGCCACAATTTCCTGCAATTCATTACCACGAAAAATGAAGTGGAGCTTATCATGGTTTTGTCTAAAATTCATTATTTAATAATTCAGAGTTTCTAGTTCTCATTGTGTTTCGGAATTTGGAGCAACTCTTAGAAGTTAAGTATATTTCTATATTTCATCTACTAGTTTAACTCATTGATAATTATGGGAGAAAAAAAACATAAAATGCTAAAAAAATTATTCCTTGAATTACCATTCTCGAATAGCTACTATAACTTTTCGAATAAAAAATTATAAAAACATAATGATACTTTACAAAAAATAAAATAAAAATAGTATGATGAAATTGTTATTATTTTTTTATAAAAAATAACTTGACTAATTAAGTAAAGCTAATTAAGGAGATAATATAACTAAAATAATTATGCAAGAATCATCTGATATGCGTGTGTTTTCGGTTGACGAATCAAACTTGGAGTATTTCAAATACAAATAGCCGTACATCTTTACTTTTGGATATCATCAAAGCTTTAGGAAATCTTGAAAAAAAATAATCAGACTTGGGAAATAGACCTGCCCAATAAAGAAAAAAGAACATGAAACTTATAAAAAATGACAAATAAAAAATATAAGATAAGTCGGTTAATTTTAAAAATTCACAAATTATCACATAGAATGTAAATAAAAAAAATAGAGCATAACTAATGATATAAATTATGAATAATAAAATTATATAAAAATATAAGTTTTAAAAAATACACGTAAACATGAGCGAATCTTTTGAACCTTAAGCTATGATTTCAAACTTAGAACTGATTAAATTTTAGATTCAGACCAAATAAAAAAGCTCAATTTTCAACTAATTTAATGTTTATTAGTTAAAATATATTCAATAAAAAACAACATATAAAAAAAACTCTAGTTATTTTAGGAAAAATACATTATAGAAAGCAACTAACTAAAAATAATAAAATTCAATATCCAATTGAATAATACTAAATAATAAAATTTAAAAAACATAGCTTAGATAAAGGAACAAAAAACCGAACAAATTAGGTAGAACCTCTCATACTTGGATTAATTCTTGAAACCCAAAGCCCATGAAATTATAGAACCATGATCAAATAGTAAGCTCAATTTTCTATTCATCTAATATTAAATAATAAAATTAAAAAATATATCAATTTAAAAAATTTGTCGAAGCAATAAAAAATATAGGGATCAAATTTGATAAGAAAAAAAACCTTGACAAGGATGAAATTTTTTATTAAAAACAATTATCACAAATAAAAGAAATAGCAATCAATAGATAAGGACTAAATTTGAAACATTAAAAAAATTAAAAGGAATGGAATTGAAAAGAAATTTTAATTTTATAAATTGTCTTACAAAAGTTATTCCAAATATCAAGAGATGGAATCTGAATAAAAATATAAATTTAAATAATTAGCCAAAACACCTCAATGAAAAATGAAAAATAAAAGGATTAGAGATAATGAGAGTTATTTTTACGACCAACAAAAAATTCTACAAAAAACAAATAAAAAAATAAAACCAAGTTTCCAATTGAATAAATGCAAAACCAATGCAAACTTTAAATCTGGTATACTCTTTAAAACTTCCAACCCATTAAATCTTAAACTTAAGTTCAATTGAGAAATATACTTCTCAACCAAGTTAATATTGAAAGATGAAATTATGAAAAAAAAAAATCCATTTGAATAACTTGTCAGAGTAAATAAAAATAACAATCAAAATAATAAAAAGCATATTTGATAGGTAAAAAAATTCAATGATAATGGAATTGTAAAAAAAATTAAAAAAAAATATCACACAAAACATATAATAATCAAAAGAATAGAATCTAATCTGAAAGATAAAAAATGAAAAGGGGTGAAATTAAAAAAAAAATTTATAATTATCCAAATAAAATAATAATCAAAATAACAATGATTAAATGTTAAAAGAAAAAAAAATAAAAAGGGGTGGTTTGAAATTGTGAAGAGGGTGGCATAAAATTTAAGATGGACAGAGGGAGAAAATGAAAAAAAGATCAAGACTTTTTAAACATCATTAGAAATATTAGCATTTAATGATGGAATGATATTAACCCAACTTATTGGTGTATATGTAGCATGTATCAACAAAGTTTTTTTTTATAATATTAAATATTTATTAAATTAGAAAAATACCCATGTGTTAACTTATTATTAACAAAATACCATGATGAAAAGATATAAACTTCCCTAGAGGATAATTTTGTTAATTTTAAACCTACAAGTAATTAAATAACTTAACTTAAATAGAAAAAAAAAATGAAAAAAAGAACATAAAAGCCCTTGGATTGAGCCATCTTTTTTTTTGCTCCTAGGATATTTAAGAAATTTAGCTATTGTAAAAAAAATTGAAAAGATTAAACTACTCTTAAAAAATTTAAAAATGACATTGAATCATAATAGAAAAATCATTATACCCAAATCTTAGGTAAATGGTTTTTTGAGTTAGGAGAAAATTTATCATAACATTGTTTTATTGAATTTTTTTTATTGGTTTGGGCTATGTTACGGGTCAAATCAAAAAATAATTTCAAATTAAAAAAATATTTAGGTATTGCTAATATTTGTTTTAGTATAATAAGTTTTAAAACTATATGGAGGTCAATTCGATATAATTCTGATTAATTTGGCAAGCCCAAAGACAACCCAAATAATCAGTAAAAGCAAAATTTGTTTCAAAATAAATATTTAAGATGATATATATATATATATAACAAATCAAAATAAATTATAAAACCCAATTTTCAATAAATCTAATGTTGATGGATATAAAAAAATCAATAAAAAAAATATTAGAAAAAATTATCAGACTTGCATCTCGGATCATGAGACTAAAATAATCTAATAGAAATAAAATTAAAATAAATTATGAAACTCAATTCTCAATCAACCAAGTAGTGAGAAATGAAAATTAAAAAAATAATTAAAAAACATTAAAAACCAATCCAAGTTAATTCAAATTATTTTGCTAAACTCTGTTAAAGAATTATATAAATCATATCTTGAGACCTTTTCTAATAACTTAAATTATTGGGTTGAGATAATTTTTTAATATGGTATTAAAGCCTTAATGATTAAGTGGTCACAATTTTAAATCTAATTATTCTTATTTATTTGATAAAAAATAAACACAGGGTAGAGTGAGCATGTGTAAGTTTCAAGTCTAAAAAGTTTTCACTTAAAGGAGACGTTGAGAATAATATGGAACCTTACCTAATTGCTTAAGTTATTCGGTTAAGATGGTTCTTTAATAAACTCGTGACTATAATCATGAGACAAGAATAATCTTATAAAAAAATAAAAATAAATTATAAAACTTAATTCTCAATCAACTCAATATTGAAAAATGAGCTTGATTGTCTAGGCTGACCTTTTTTTATATTAAAGATAGTCACAAAGAGCTTTCAGTTAATAGAAATGTTAGAGAATAATATAAATCATATATTGAGATCTTATCTAATTGTTCAAGATATTAAATTGAAATGATTCTTTAATAAACTCGTGAGATACGAATAATCTCATAAAAAATCAAAATAAATTATAAAACTTAATTCTCAATTAACTCAATATTAAAAAATAAAATTTTATAAAAAATATCAATTGAAAAAAAAACTTGAATCAATTCGTCAAACTTGTATTCTAAATTATGAAATTAAGATAATCTCACAAAAATAATTTAAAAAAATTATAAAGTCTAAATTTAATGTCAAAGATGAAAATGAATTAAAAATTGTAAAAAAAAAATAAATGAAAAAAAACTATTACAGTTGATTCTTTTATTTTTTTTTTAACAACCCTCCTAACTACTGAAGAAATAGACGGATATATTTAGTAGAAAAAAACCATGATTGTTTAACTATGTATTCAAATCCCCTTTTTGGGGCACTCCTTTTATTTTCCGTTCACTATCACCATTCCAAGTCACTTAATTTGGCAAAAAATCAGCAACCACCTCCATAAATTTTGTCGGCTTCCTGCTCCTCTCAAATATTCTAGTGCCACTCCAGTCCATTCCAGTCCTCCTCGTGTGATCAGCACGTGACTGTACTTGGACCCAGTCTTTGGAGAGATATTTAATACCACTTAAGGTGTGAGAGTTATATATTCCACGTCAGCAAGCGTTAACTTTTTATGACCTCCTCTTTGATTCATCACTCCTTGCCTGTGATTTATCAGGTAAGGTAACCGCCCGAGTCCACGTACACAAATACAGAGAG